CAGAAACTCATGTCTGTTCGAATCTACTTACAAATAAATATGGGGAAGTGTAAGTTCAACCGTATTTGGTTGAAAAAACATCGAATTTAGTGCTTGGTTGAAACCAGGGGAGGGGAACGTGTTTGAAGCAGCTCCCGCAACAACATCGGGGGACCTCGATGCGGAGGTGCTGTGGACGCCGTAAATACCATAGCTAAACAACAATCATACAACAGCATGAAGGCAGCAGAGCTCAGAATATAGCTCTTGTCTCTCTCACACACACACACACACACACACACACACACACACACACACACACACACACACACACACACACACACACACACACACACACACACACACACACACTTTTTGTCTAACACGCTAACACAGTTCTGTGTACTGTTATGCTGTTATGTTCAGTCATGTTGAACATGAATACATTACTTTGTAATTAATTATGGGACGTATTTCTTCTTTCATAGCACTTTTCCTTCATACTTTTTTGCCGTGAAATAGGTCTTATTCTATTCAAAGTGGTCTTAAAAAGGTCTTAAAAAGTCTTAAATTTGAGTTGGTGAAACCTGCAGGAACCCTTTTTCCCACCCTTCTGAGTCCTTAATTCCACCGAGGTACATCTCCCACTCCCACTGCCTTGTGGGAAAAAGGGTGGTTCCTGTCCAGACTTCATGGTATTCCCATGTTCGTGAGAGCCAGGGAGGGAGAGCGCTCCGTCCTCTGGGATCTGTGGTCAACATGCAGCAGGTGTAGGAGTCTTTGTCTAATTAAGGCCTGCTCAGACATTTAAGTCTAATTATAAGTCATACATTTATTTCACACCATTACACATCAGAGGAAATTAGCATGTTGGAAACGTTTCATTACGCTTGAAATATCTACAGCAGCTAAACACCTGGCAGGATGTGTGTAAGGCTGCTTTATGGTATTCATTTAACTCCTTAAATGTTCTTATTTTACATGTTGACATAATGATTTACAGCAAATACACATTTTAAACCTATAAAACAATAAAAACATTATAATGTAATGCAAATAACCTTTAAAATAACCAATACGGCTGCACTTATATTTGGGGAAGCGAAGAGTAAATGTTAAAATGTGCACTGAAACCAGACACATTACTTTATCAGTATGTGAAAACAGCTTCAGATGCCGCAAAATAATTTTAATAGCTGTAATATTTTTGACTCTATCTACGCCAAAACCTGTACTGCATTGTTTAGGAACAAGGCTCACAGCCCGAGCATCACTCATTGGTTGTTACGGAAGCTGTCAGGCCTCCCATTGGAGAATATATCCTATATATTAATTAAGAGCTAGACAGCATGTATTTGAGATTGTATGGAGGCCCTTCATTGATGATGTTAAGGATCTAAATGTATGTAATGTTCAAGAGGATCAATAGATGCATTGCAGTTCCCGAGATTGTGTAATTGTGTGTCTTTTTGTGTTATGTTTTTCAAAATATTGCATTGTATTATACAGATGCTTTTTATTTTGCAGATTATTTTTGTATTGCTAAGTAAAAAATAATAAATAAAACATTGCGGTAAAAGAAAAACAATGTGGGCTACATGACTGAAACAACCTTATTTATTTGTTCCTGCACTAGACAGAAGGAATGCTTTCTGGGCTGTGATTCATCAATTCTCATAATCAAACTTTAGAAACATGGTGGATTTTCTGTGGCGTTATCTAATCTACCAAGAAAAGTTTCTAAAGCAAGCTAAGGAGGACATTTGCTATACTTTTTTATGTATATGTACATTTGAGAGGTTTGGGAGTTTCTAGATGCAACAAGTCATACAATCTTAACTCTCCCTATATTATCCCTATGTCTTAAATCATGTTTCTGTCAGGATGGATTGATTCTTAGAAGCAGATTAAAACACTTTTCTTGTCACTTGTAGTCGTTCCTGGTTGAAAATCTTTGTTGCATTCAACTCTGTCCTCCTCTATCGTTACTGTCTTTGTTGTGAATTGTAAAACACAAGCAGACAAACTTGAGGAAATTCAAAGTGTGTCTCCCTGTGTTTCCAGTGTGTGGACGGAGTGTCCGGGGTGGACTCGTCCCTGAAGCGTGTGGCGGTGGTGGAAGATTTCTTCGACATCATCTATGCCATGCACGTGGAGATGAGCACGGACCCCGGAAAAGCCCCGAAACATGCCGGCCAGAAGAAGACCTACAAAGCTGTAAGAATCCTGTCATCTAGCATTCATACTACAAAATACCAGAATGTCCTATATTTATTGTAAGCACATGTGCAATATCTGATTCTTCTTGGTGTTTGTGTCTGTTTTCTTTTATTCTTTTGTTAGTCATTGCCTCTCTTTCTTTCAGTTTCACACCTCTATCTCCTCTGTCTCACGGCATCCTCTCCCCTGCTGAGTGTGTTCTCTCTTTCATAACTTGTGTTGCTCAACACACGCTGTCCTCCCTTTATCTCTCTTCCTCTTCTTCTGCTCTTCATTCCTCTTTTAGAGTCCATTGTAAAAAAGAGAGAAAAGAAACAGACTGGTTTCAGTATTTGATCAGATGGATTTCAGTCTGAATTTCGGTGAAACTAAACTAGCAGCCACAGCCAGTCAATTTCTACTTGGGGAGTTTTGATCATGTTAAATAGCGGGAGCCAGGCTATTTTAGAGCTGGGTTAGTAGATTAATCCAATCTTCACAAAAATAATTATTTTCAAGTTATTTGATAGACATAATTAGTATTTCCAGCTTCTTTTTTATGGAGATTTACCTGCATTTCTATATATTGCGTGAGAATATATTCAGAGGGCCAAGAGAAAAAAGCTAATGAAACAATTAATTGTTCAAATAATTGGTAGATTCATTGGTATTGAAAATAATTGTTAGCTGCTGCCCGAGATACAACATAACGATTTGCCCTAATGACTGAAAAAAAACCCTGTTCTTGCAGTTGTATTTAAAATATCAATATCAGAGAGAACAAAATGGTAAATGAAATTCACACTGCTATTTTATAGGTCAGTGAATGCATCTGACAGAGTGAAAGTGGCCTACTCTCATTATCAGCAGGACTATTTTTTCCATTCCCATTATTTTCCTTTTTTCTTTGTCAATTTATTTTCCGCCAATCCTTTTGTTTCATCTTACTATCACTGATGGGACTTTGTTGATTCCACAGCCTTTAACATGGACTTTATCTTACACATAATGTAATATAACCTTCAACCAAAACAGAAAACAATCGTAAACATGTGGAGACATTTTGCTAGTGATCAGGGCAGATGTAGAAATTTATTTTCTTTTTTAATCTTTGGTAAGGTTATGAGTTTTGGAATAGGCTGAAATGAATCCACCTGTGCTGTTGGAGTTGAAAAGAGCATCCTGTGCTGTTCATCTGATGACACTGCCCTCTTCTGGTTAAACGGGGGAAGTGCAGCTTCAACAGATTTATCTCCCTGCAGAGGGAAGCTGTCACAACTGTCTGTCAGCCAGCTTTCATTGTTCTCATGTTTCACTTTGCTCACATTCCTTTTCTCCTTTCTTTATTTTTTTTAGAGATATTTACATCTTCTTTCTTTCTGTTTGAAAAAGATAGATAAAATAGAATAAAACAGATAAGGATTGATCTGCCAGATTGTCCTCTGTGTCCATCTCCTCTGCTCTATATACAGCACATAGTATCCTTAAAGCCAGGCGCTAGCTTTCCATGCCACATAGCTGTAGGTCTGAGTGCCACTGAGTGAGTGACATTTGCCTTTGCTTTACCCCCTCCTTCCTACACACACACACACACACACACACACACACACACACACACACACACACACACACACACACACACACACACACACACACACACACACACACACACACGGCTTCACACCTGCAGCGGTGTTGTTATGAGACAGTTCTATCAGTCTGTTTGGTCTCACAATGTCAAAGCCCCTCAATTAGATCACATTGACACGCTTCTCATTATCACTTCCATGTTTTACAAATCCAGCAAAGAAAAAAACTTCTTATTTTTTTTATAAAAAACAAATTTTTTCTATTTATGTCTCCACCATACATTTCTCTGTGTGACCTTATCATCGAGGGGGAAAACAGTAATTGTTTGTCCAACTGTTGCAGCTTTTACCCTTTAACTCACTGATAATCGCTGCTTTTAGTTTAATGATGAAAGACCTGAAATCTGTTCCGTACCAATTATCAAAAGACACTCGAGGACACAATCAAGTTTCTCAAATGTTGTAAGATAACCACAATTCCTCTACATATGTCAGTGTAATGATCTGCATCACAAGCAGGCTGTGAGCGATGAATAAAATATGTTGTTGCTGTCTGCAGCGTACAGCGGTGAAGGTTCCACTGATGTGGGATCTCGATCAATAGTCGAGGCTGTGTGCCAATATTCAGCGACTTTCATTATGAGATTTATGAGGACTCATGTCAGTCATACGATTGTGCAAAGACAATAAACTTAACCACAGATGGGAGGGCAGGACGGGCCAGATATATCTCCTGCTGAAGGGGAGCCTATCATAAAGTTCAATTTGCAATGCATGTAAGGAGAAGTTCAATAACCAAGACATTAAATCCAACAAAATAAGCGAAAATAACACTACAGTAGATTTTATTAATAAAATGGAGGATCCACAAGGTTTACAGTTGTCCTCCAGAAACCTTATTATCCAACAGAAACAGCATAATTGGTGAATGTTTAATAAAAAAACCTCTCAAAAACAAAGTAATAGAGATACAATGTCCCCCGAGGGAAATGTTTACTTTATTTAACCCTACAGTTCTTGTTCCCTATGTGCGTTTATAACGTTTTAGCACCAATTAATCTTGAAAAGCTGCAAAGTATGTGCTATTCACCTACCCATAACAAAACACTCATATTTGAAGTTCTTTAAGCTAGTAGCTCAAGTTAAAATATAGGTGTTGTTTTCGGCAGAATGTATAGAACATGTATTTTTGTGTGTGTGTGTGAGGATGATACTGTGCTGCAGAAAGATTACAGTGTATGGCCCATAGGAGCAAAGGTACAGACAAGAATAGAGGAACAATGACTCACTCACCTATAGAAATAACATAGGACACAGGGGAGCATGTGTGTGTGTGTGTGTGTGTGTGTGTGTGTGTGTGTGTGTGTGTGTGTGTGTGTGTGTGTGTGTGTGTGTGTGTGTGTGTGTGTGTGTGTGTGTTCCATAGCAAAGCATTCTGTGAAAAGAAGGTCTGAGTCTTTTGTCTGGGTTGTTTTGTGGTTATGAGTGAGAGGAGAGGAGGGAGAGAAGGGCATCTGTACTTTTACTCCAGAGAGAGAACTTGAGCCAAAGAAAGACAGCAGCAGCAGAAGAGGAGAGGATGTGCTGCATATTTTTGATGTGCGAATCCTCCACTGGCTCCATTAGCACTCATCCCAAGCCTCCGCTCATCTGCCCATCCCTTTATCTTTCCCTCCATCAGCCCCCCGTCCCAATTCAATAAGAGGAGGAAATTACCCAGGATGCTTCCTGGCAGGGGTGGGGGGGTGCAGACAAACGGGTGAGGAGTGAGAGGAGAGGAGACAAGAGGAGGTGAGAGAGATGGCAGGGCGGTGGCTCTGTCTGGAGGAAGATGGAGAGGATGAGGAGGAGAGGGTGAGGAGGGGGGGTGGATGTGCTTGGACAGGGTGAAAATAAAAGTGAGAAAATGTGTAGGTGACAGCGGGATGAAAGGGGGAGGAGGGGG